CCAGTTATTCTCCTTTTTCCAGCTGATGGCAGTTGGATGTTACTTCCCCAGAAGTGACCCTCAGTCTGAAATTGTCACAATAATCCAGGACGAGGTCTTGATTTTACTGGGGACATGGTGGCGGTGTAGTGCAAGATCAACCAACCTGTGTGGAATTGATCCATATGCGTTGGCCAAATCCAGCCACAGTCATCCCTGTTCTCTAATGAGCTGTGTGCTCTAAGCAGCCAGGTACTCCAGGAATGTCACCTGTCTGCACTGAGGGATCGATGTAATTGCTCTTGTGGAGAAACTCCGTGAGCCTCCGGGAAACGATGCTAAAAATCTCCAATATGTGCTCAAAACATGTGGCATATCCTGGTTTTCTTACCAATACTGAACAAACACTTTTTTAAAGGTTTTTTCATCTTTAAACTCAGTGATCATGAATACAGACGTATCTATTAATTCTATTCAATTCAATTTTATTTATACAGCACCAAATCACAACAACAGTCGCCTTAAGGCGTTTTATATTGTGCAGTAGATCCTACAATAATACATACAGAGAAAAACCCAACAATCATATGACCAATCAAGCACTTTGGCGACAGTGGGAAGGAAAAACTCCCTTTTAACAGGAAGAAACCTCGGGCAGAACCAGGCTCAGGGAGGGGCGGGGCCATCTGCTGCGACCATATTATTCCTGCTAACTATAGCTAAGTAATCAGTTTCACTCACCAAAACTGGAGCACAGATGTCCTGGATGGGCTGCAAAATATTTGTAAGATGATTCTGTTAAAACCTTAAATGAAGGTTACCAGCAAACAATTAAGAATTAAGGAGCATTTTAACAGCATGCTTATAGTTAGATTTAATTTTAACCACAATCTGCTAAACAAGCAATGTTTTATTAACAAAAGAAGTGCTCCTTTGGCCTTGTATTTATTTTGTTTAAAGGTGTCTATTTAGATTCAAGATGAATGAAAATTTAATGTCAAGGGAAGAAGGCCTAACTATGAATTTAACCTTAGACAAGTAATCTGGTGGATGGAAAAACATTTATATAAACAACAGTAACTTTGCTGTCTTTCTTTTCATTAGAAAATGATGCACAGTTTTGATACATTTTCAGGTTTCATAAACAATGTAACATAATTTAAATGCTTTGTATTGATTTAAACAAACTCTTTTCTGTTAGTGGGCCACGATAATAAAGTGCTTCAAAGCTTTTTTCTTAATAATAAAAAGAGTAAAAATGAAACACCATCACAACATCAAGGCACTGACGCAGCAATGCAGGTTTTGTTCGTATTTAAGTGAAAATGCTGCAAGTTTTCTTAGTCACAGGGGACATTTTCACTTGGCCTTTTCTTTCATGTTGTCAGTGAGCTTGAAGGGACTATTTTTATTGAAGCTTTTGGAGTGAATGATCGAGCTGTTCAGCGGCTCTAGGTATTTATGCTCAGTCTGAGTGGGAGAAGAAATGGCTGCTTCTTGCTGAGAGATGGGGGGATGAGGTAGCTTGGGTGAGTAAGGGGAGGATAGACATAACAAAAAGAGGAGGAAAGGCGACAAATGAAAAGAGAGACGGACTGTTTTCTATCTCGTCCCTCTGCACCTTAAGGGACAACTTGATATACTCTAATGTCTGTTTATGGATTAATGATAATCTCAGCCAGTCCCCCCAATCCACCCACTCCAACTCCATCTCTACAATCCAACAGAAGCCGAACAACCAGCAAGAGCAGAAGCATCAATATAGGAGAAGGAAATGGAGGAGAGGGTGTGTTTGTTTAGTGTACGTATGTGGCCAAAATATAGACAGACAGAGGGTGTTTTTTTCTGCCCAGAGAATTAGAAGGAGAAAAAAGGCCTTCAATTTTCCACTTGAGCAGATTTCAATTTACGCACACACACCCCTCCGTGACGCCGTCCTCCCATTGTTATTGACAGCATTTAGACTGGCCCGTGGAAGAAACAGTGTGTGTCGCACACACACCTTATGGAGAAAGATGGACACTGTATGTCTGGTGGGTTGTTTTATTTTCTGTCTGTGGGACTGATAAAGTGAACTGCAGCTGTGGACCATACATCATTAAATGGTGTGGGTCCAACACATCACTTCTTTTTTGTTTTTTAAACAAAATGCATAGAGAAATAGTAGCATTACGTGTTTAAACAACAGAATTTCAGTACTTTGACAACAAACAGATACTAAATATTCTGTACTGCTGTTAAACCTGTTAAACGTTATTCGCTGATTTAGTCTATCAGCAGAGGAAAATCATATATATCCTTCCATCACATACATCAAACATTCATGAGTTCCATCGTTTAAGATGTGATGATTTTGTGCATTTTTCTATTTCAGGATATTTTCAATGAAGTACAGCAAACTCTCTATTTCCTGATGCATTTCAAAAGTTAAAATCTCTATTAGCATTTGTGTTTTTACCTTTTTGTTGATTTTTTGCTCTATTTGCACTGTTATGCAAACAGAGATTGGAAGATGAGTAGCAAAAGCAAAGGTGGGATTTGTGCTTGTAAAGGATCGATTGTGTCACGTCAGACATGTTACAGTGAACGATGTGATCTGCAGTCAGGATATTGAGCTGCTGTTGTTCTTAGACTGCACTATGTACCAAGGGAATTTTCACACATCATCACCAGAGGCCAACAAGTCTTTCAGGGCTTGTTTTGAGTGCACAGACTGGACTGTGCTGGTTGTGACAGCTTCACAACCTACATCGGCTTCTGTAGGGACACTGTGGTTCTAGTAAGGACTGTTTGCTGTTTTCCCAAGAATAAGCCCTGGACATTAAAGAAGTCCTTCACCAGAAACGCAGACATTCAAGTCAGGGATAAAGAAGGTATTTTCAACACCAACTGAAAGGGCGATGGATGCGTCCAAAGGTGGAGTATAAAAGAGAAGCAGAGAGTAAATCGGGAGCATCAGAGGTCACTCAGAGAAGAGCAGCCATCAATGAGAGCAAATCCAGTCAATTCACCCTGTTTTATAGCTGGTTTGATGGGAAGCAGGAATGCCTGCTGTGCTTTAATATCTGTCCTCCCTCGGACTACTTCAACTGATGCTCCTGTTTCAATGACACCTCTATGCCTCCACCTCTTGAGAGGCTGCTCCAGCACCACTATCTTCTGTCTCCTGCACACAACAACCCCGACACCCACTACATCTGACCATCTGCCCCCGTCCTTCTCAGCTAACAAAGCAAGGGCACAGCTCAGAGACTGCGTCCAGGGAAAGGAGCAGGCCCAGATGGTGAGTGACAAGACTCCTGAAGGCCTGTGCAGCCCATCTAGCTGAAACCATTCAATGGGTCTTCGGCTTGAATCTATGATAAGGCAACGTCCTTGTGCAGTGTACAGCTCAAAATCCTGTACATGCAAATATAGTTCTCCACCTCAACACTGCTAAAATAAAGGGGATTTCAGAAGATCTAGGCCATCCCGTCAGCCAGTCTCTATACATGGGCAAAGCACTGAGGTGGTGTACAAAATATCTCCAAGCTGGAATGGTCCCCGAATGATGATGCATTCAACAAGAAAGAAAGAATGTGGTACAAAGTGGGGGGCATTCAACACAGACGCCCTGACAGCTCAGCTGGATGGAAAATTCAAATACTCAACTGAGGGCGTCAACTCTACTGTGTAATAGAAACAGCTGATTATTTTAATTTTTCAACAACTCATAGAAACGTACCCTTTAGAGAAACATTTCTTATGACTTGTATTAGATTTCCTCTAATCCAAGTATTTATCTATCCATCTAGGATTTCTCTCCTGCCAATCAAACAGCGGTCTCTCCAAAATGTATGTTAAATGAAGGTGGGGAAAGAAGGTTAAATATGTGCAAAACACAGTTCATCACCATAGCTCTGTTTTTGAGAGAATTCTCCTGGAAAAACACGTTCAGATTTTTTTTTTCTTTGCAGTTCTAGTGTAAAATACCTGAAACTGTGGTGTATGAAACTGGTTGGATGTGGTAACAGAGATAACTTAAATAATTGTTCCACAGATTAGATTTTAGTGTTGTTTATTTTGAGAATTAGTTAATTGAAATTAAAAGAAAAATACAACTTGTTAAATAACTGTTTTTATCATCTAAGAAACCTTTCTAAACTCAGACTGGTGTCAAAGGCAGAACTTGAGATGATTATTCGTGCTTTTATCTCTTCTTGTTTGGATTATTGTAACGGTCTTCTTACTTGTCTCAACAAACCAGCTCTGGATCGCCTTCAGTCTGTACAGAATGCAGCAGCGAGACTTTTAACTGGTACAAACAAGAGGTCACACATTACTCCAGTTTTGGCTTCTCTTCATTGGTTGCCTGTAAATTTTAGGGTTCATTTTAAAATTTTAGTTGTAACTTTTAGAGCTCTGCACGGTGAAGCTCCCCAGTATATCTCTGACCTGTTGAAACCTCATGCTTCATCCGAGCACTTGGGTCTTCAGGTCAGAGGCTACTGGTGGTCCCACGTACTGGGTTTAAAACACGTGGGGATCGAGCTTTTCAGGCACCGAGGCTGTGGGACTCTCTGCCGTTGTCTTTACGCTGTCTAGACTCTAAATGGAACAGTTGACCTTGTCTCTGAGACTTGAGAGTGTAAAGTATGAAACGCACTGGGAACATGGAGATGATCTCAGTCTGTGAAATGAAATATCTGACAAACTGAATGATCAGTATTTTTGGTTCCTGTCTTTTGCGTGAACTCAATAACATTTTCCTTTGTACTTTGTTTTTAAATAACAACATGTCAAATAGGAATATGTGTATGGTATATAGTAACTCTGTATTCTGTGATTTATCACACTAAGCTTTACTGAGATATGTAAAGCCAATAATGTCCTTCCTGACACAACATTGATGATTTTCTTATTTTACAGTCTTTATTTTACTGAATTAATTTTATTAGTTTAGTAATTGTTGGAAGTTATTAAATGTGTATCTGGTGTTATCCTAAATAAGAGTCATTAATCCTGCTCTTGCCTTATTGCAGGTAGTGTATAAGAACAATGACATCCGTCTTGAGTTGTCCCGTCTGGCTCGAATTGTGGACCCCAAGATGAAAATCCAGGGTGAGGTATCCTACAAGTGTGAAAATGTGGCTACCCTTGACCCAATTTCTTTCGAAACCCCTGAGGCCTATATCAGTCTCCCCAAGTGGAACACCAAGCGGATGGGATCCATCTCTTTCGATTTCCGTACGACTGAGCCCAATGGACTCATCCTCTTTACCCATGGCAAACCCCAAGAGCGCAAAGATGCTGCACGGAGCCAAAAGAACACCAAGGTCAGTTCATAATCTCCTCAGTCACTTGATAATTTCTGTTTTAAAAAATGCTTGACTGAAAACAGTTTGAAAGGACTGATGTGTGTTGACATCAAGGTCACCACCTGGTGAGAACGGCAAACCAACAAATTCACCTGTGTTTGCAAGGCTGTTGTAGACAAGTGGTTCCCAAAGTGTGTTTGCTAGGGCCCTCTTAGTTTTACAAGAAAAATCCCCACTTTGGGAACCACTGCTGTAGACATGAAACATAGAAGTTGAAGTTGTCTGTCTCCAAATTCCAAATTAGATCTAGATTCCTCTGAAGAGGTAGTGATTCCATTCCTAAATCTAGATCTTTCAAATCCTTTCAGTCCTACAAGTCTTTGGGTGGGAATGCTTGCATAACACTGTTGCTGTTCAGTGCAATCTCATGTAGCTTAAT